GTTTAGTTGATTATCCAGTCATTCATTACTTATTTACTTTAGTAGATTAACTGTTTTAATTATATTTAATATTAGATTACTTAAAATTTTCTGATTTAAGTTTTAAGTTTCTCAGATTTAAAGTTTTAGATGATTTAAATTTTAGGTAATTTAATCAGTTATTATTTATTTAGATTTTAACTGATACATTAAATTTTGATATAAAACTATTTGGTTAATTAGTTAATCAATATAAAGTTTCAAATTTAACTAAAGCTTTAATTAAATTTCTTCTTTGAGTTTTCTCATTTAAGTTCTGTTTTGTTCTCTTTTTTTTTTGCTAATTAGTTAGTTATTCCATTAACTATTGCATTAACGCAAATTTTAATTTGGTTAACTGAATTAAATCAAATTATGTTGGGTTAATTATTTTAGGATTTATATTTTATTTTAAACTTATTGATTAGTGGATTTGAATTTTAATTGAGTTTTAATTTGAAGTTCTCAAATTTATAAGTCCAAAAATTTTCTGATGAAATTTTAGTAGCCTTCCGGCGTGCCCTCCTGACCAGGAGCCCAATTGATTATTCTCAAATATCTGACAATGTCGATGTGCTGAAACAGATCCACACAACTTTTGGAGCTGAATTTTTCTGAAATGTTTGCACATTGCATTCATTGGGAATTGCTCATGCATACGTTATACATGCGACATACTGTTAGATATATACTATGATTTTAACATCATTTCTCTACTGAAAATATAACCAATCCATAGTATACTCATCAACCTCCTTGCTGAAATGCTCATTGCACTTACTAATTAATTTTATTTTGGCATTATTTTCATTCAATTGTAAAATGGTTGCTTTGAGAATATATTTTCACACTTCTCACAAAAAAAAAAAACTTCAGGTGCATCTTTCACTTCCTTCAAGGCTTAATAGTCCATGAGCAATGCTTTTAAATCAATGCCGTTGACTTCTGTAATGGGAAAGATGATCTTGATGTTATTATTTTTTTTTTTTTTGTTAAATTGAGTAATGCCAACAAGTGACTTCATAACATCCATGACCAGGCTATTGTTCATCTCGGCGAGTTCGTGGAGCTGCTCCTCATTAAGCCCGCAACTTTTTATCTCTTGAAACTTCATTTCATCAATTTTTCTTTTTTTTTCTGCTGTTTTTATAGACGAATGCTAGTGGTAATTTAATAATTGAAGTGACTACTATAGATGCAATTCAAATGATTGTCTTTGCATAAACTCAAGCGAAGACCGCGCATGAAAGTCCTTATATATGCTAATCAATTTGACGTGTGATTTACACAACTTCCAAACTTCACTGCTTAATAGAGATGGCAAGTTGAATTTTGATGATGGCAATGAAGATGTCTTCTAACAGTAGTTGGATCTTGATTTCAAATCCACTAAGAGCATTATTTCCTTTGCAATCTTAGGACGGCCATCTAGTAAGATTTTCTTCAAACTCTTTGGCATTGAAATCTCTTTGAAGCTTGCAATCAATTACTAAATTGAAAGGTATTTTAACCTGCCTCTGAATTATTCTCTAGTGAATATGCAACTGAACATTGAAAGACCTCATTTGCTTATTTGATTGACCTCTGATCTTTAATTCTTTTGCTCAAGAATTATCATAACTAGGCCTTGCTTTTTTCATGAAATTAATTCAATGGTTTTATCACATTGCAAATCTTATTAAATTTTAACATAAGATCAACAATTTTTATGGTCCTTATTAGGTGCCAAAATTAAAAATAATTAGGTTGAAAGTATTTTTTTTAAAAAAAACATTAGAAAAAAATAAATTATTTGTTTGAAAATAATTACAAATATTATTTCAAAATGATAAAATTAAAATGAAAAATAAATGATTAAAAACTAAGCAATTGCTTGGTTGGATGAAAAATGAATGCATAAATAAATAAATATAATATATTTGAAATATTTGGATTTATTTATATAAATGTGAAAATGTATGTGATTAATTTTTTTTGTTTGCCTTGAAATAAAATGAAGTCGTGTAAAAACACAAATATGGTGGTGGTCAACAAAAGTTGATCCGTGGTGGTTGGTAGCAGCAGCGAACGATATTGGGTGAAAGTGGGTGTGTGTGATGCCCTAAGTTCTAATGGAAGGATTAAAAGCCTAAATATATAATTATCACTCAACTATCAACAAAATAACCAGAGCTAAAAATCTAATTAATTAAAGCAATTCTGCAATTTTCATTTCATAAATAGTGGTGTCAGAATCCCTCTCATATCTAAACAAAGAAGATTGAACCATAACAGAACATATAGACCCCTTATAATATATCAAAGAGTGCACTTTTTCACATATCAGAACATATCTAATACCATGTTATGAATAGTGCAAATGTAAAGACAACATTAGTTAATTATGAGTTTAATGCACTACTTTAATGATGCATGAATTATTAAAATTACCAATAAGGTGCCACATTGCCTGTACAATATTATACTCACTAAATTTCTCCGGTTCAAAATTCAACTCCAGAGTAATATTCATATGAACTTCTAAAAACTTTTATATAACTATTGCAATTATCAAAGAAGCCTCAATCAACTCCTATACTCATAAATTTATGTAAGTAAAAAAGCAAAAGGAATTTCTTATAGTCAAAAAGTTCATGATAAAATGTATAACAACATATCAAAAGTTATATGATGAAAATATAGTAAAATATGATAAAAAAAATTTTTATTCATAACTTTTTTTATAAAACCACTAAAATTGAAATCAGAGATAAGAGTTTAGAAGTCTACCTTGTACTCTACAATATTCTAAATAGGCCCGATGGATGAATCCCAAGCTTTAGCTTTCAAATCCACTCTCTTTCTTTCTATGCCCTCTCCTCCTCTCCCTTCTCTTCCTCTTATCTTCGGCAAGGGGATGGGCTGAGGATGATTAGCAAATGATTTTAGATTATATATATATATATATATATATTGACTTAGTGTCGAGATGCCCACCTTTCCAATGCCACTGTGCTCCCATAAAATCTTCCAAATTCTCTTAGAATATCACTATTAGAGGGCTTGGTGTCACGGCGGAGCCACCTAGTGCCACAATATCCCCTCATTTTCTCCTTCTAATCAGAGAGCTGAATGCCACGATGCTACCCATCCTAGTGCCGCGGCGCTCTCGGAGAAAATTATGATAATTAACTTTTAATTTTCTAGTCTACTTCCCGACTTACTTAAAAAATTCATCAAGCACTCCGGGACTTATAATCATTAATTAGATCAAAATTCAAAGAACATGTATTATAAATTAGCTTAATTACCTGGGTATTGGGTCTAAAGGCCGGTATAACAGTGTGGGTGTAAGGGTGACGATGGAGATAGATGTTAGCCATCGATGTCAGTTAGTGGTGATTAGTAATTTCCATTGCGTAAGCGGGTGGTGATAGCTAGTGATGGTGGCTGTTGGCATAGGGTGACGGTGTTGACATTGTTGGTGGCTTATGGTGGCAACGTATAGTGGTGGCAATAATAGGTAGTGGCGGAAAATGACTAGGGGTGTCAATGTTTGACATACGGGTCGGGTTTAGGTTTGGCATGTCTACCTTTCAAAATTCTCAGGTTTGGGTTGAATCATAAACTCGAAAGTGACTCGAGCTGATTCATTTAGAAAACCCTACCCTCCCATCTCACGCAATCCTCGCCTCTCCCTTCAGCTGCTAGTCACGCCATCGTCTGATCGGCTGAATCCTGATCCGCAAGACCACAATCGGTTCTGCCTCCTGCAGCTCCAACCTGGTCCACCTCAAGACGCTGGTCACGCTGTCTCTTGCAGTAACCATCAGATTTACCGATGATTCTCCAGTCGCTGTTCCTTAGCTCCCCTCTACTACAGGAAAATCTCATGTTACCGGTGGCCAAAATTCGCCTGTAACCACAAAGGTCTAATAAAAAAAAATAGATTTTATGGCAGATTTTTGGTGAAACTTCAATTGATAGTAAATCACGCGTCATAAATTTTACTTCGGCGTAAGTATTCAGTTGAAAACATTTTCGGCGGGCTTACCGAAGGAAAAATGAAAGTAGAAACGTCGTTTATCTGATATGAGTTCCAACGTTTTATCCACCAAAAATTCCGTCTAAAATTTACAGCTGGTATTTCTGGCGGATTATCTGCCGGACTACTCCCCCGAAATATGTCGGCGAAAAATCCACCGGAAATACCCACTGTAAAATCCCGCCAAATACGATTCGTCTTGTTTAAGTAAGATGGAGAAACTTCCGTCGGAAGAGCCGCTGGTAATTTCCGGCATAATTTTTGCTAGAATTAAATGCCATTTTATACACTCGAGAGGTTTAGCTGGCGATTTTTCCGCCTGTAAATATCCAGCGGTCTTTCAACTTGAAAATCTGAAACTAATTTTTCGGCTGAATATATGTTGGTAAGACCGCCGCTTATACCAGTAAATAATTATTTGCCAAAAAAATTACCGGTAATGAGTCATTTTCCTGTAGTGCTCACCCTTGATTCTCTCTCACGGGATTGCAGCTAGCCTACATACTAAAATGCCATAAGGTTCACTTGAAACCAATGCCGCTCGCCATGTCCAGTCTCGGTAATTGCCGACCCTCCTGAGAGCGGCCACCATCCCCAATCGACCAATCGCCACTGGAATTTGGAAAAGCCCTCAGCTCTATTGTCGTCCAAGATGAGATCCTCTTGGAGTCTAGTCACCCGTTTGTGTACGGGTGTCAGGTTGGATCAACATGATAACCTATGCTAGTTGGGTATGTGTTGGATTTTCTTACTTGTTTGTAAAAATGAGTCGGGTTAGGGGCAACACATTTAAACTTGGATTTGATCTGAATCCGACCCGTTGACCCGTTTTGACACCCCTAAAAATGAAAATAAGAATTTATGATATCTAAAAATCACTCAAATCTAACAAACATTATATTCATCAAAATTATACTTATAAAGGTATATTTCAATTTAAACATCATTTACTTCTAATAAACAGTTGCAGCGGTGAGTCTGTGAAGACACGACGATTCCATTTTCGCCCTTTTGATTTTGCAGGGAAGAAATTGGAAGAAAAATTAGTAAAAAAATTTAAGAACTCGGTGATCCAAGGTATAGGTACGACTAGGAAGGGAGTACGGGTGGGAGATGAAGGGATTTGTTAGGTTTCTGGTGAGAAAATCTCTTCTAGGAAGGACCGTGATACCTACCCCCATCGATGAGAAGCGCGGGCCTTTCCTTTCGTCATTTCGTGCCATATATTCTTCGGCGATGCGCTCGCATACTCCAATTTCTTATCTAAATCCTTGGAAACCCGCGTCTTTCCTTCCGCCAAATTCTGGTCTATGGGGAAGTTTTAATGGTTTGTGGTTTTATTTTAACGTTCCATTATGTTATTTCTTTCCATATCGAATTTGTTACAAGTATTTTTTTTTTTAAATTTCTTAATATACGGATGAATCCTTTTCCTATACATTGTAGTAGAGGTACATGATTTTGTGCTAAGAATTGTTTTTTTACCCCTTGTCGTAGTTGTGATAATGGTGGAAATTTCAGTTTAAGTTGCTGTATGGCTACAAGTGGGATTTAGGAACTCTTGCAAATGCTGATTTTGTGAATCCTAGATGCTTTAAATCTTGAAATTTGTTTGGTATGAGAGATGTTAAACTGGGTTAAATCCTAGTAAATTGTTTGGTAGCTTTTTCAATATTTAATATTAAAATGAACGAAAAGAAGAGGCACAATGAGAAGAATCTGTGTAAATCTCTTAAATCTTACATCTACCTATTAAATTCGGGATTTAGTCTAAAACACTAAAAATGAAAATTTTGAAGACAAGAGGGTTGATTTGGCTCAAAAATGTCAAGATTTAGCGAAAATCTTGGCTAAATTTTAGGCAAATATTGTAACCAAAGATCAGCTTAGTATTTTTTTCTTCTAGATAGAATATTGGCCTATTTTTTTTCTAAGTTTACAATGACGCTTACTGTGTTCAGGGCAGAAGAGGAGCATGTTTATCCAGACTCAATCAACACCAAATCCATCCTCTCTCATGTTTTACCCAGGAAAGCCTGTGATGGAAGTTGGAAGTGCCGATTTTCCGAATGCCCGTACGGCCATGTCTTCTACACTTGCTAAATCTATCTTCGCAATTGATGGTATGTCTGTTGTATCACTTGCAACCTTTAGTTATGTGAGTTACTACTGTGAGTTTTCCTTAAATTATAATTTGCTTTATTGAGTGAAATTTGTTTTGAAGCTTTGAGATTTTTATTCAATTTCTTAATTTTAGGTATAAACAACTTAATGTTGTGTTACAAATAAGTGATTTGCCAATTTGTCTGGTTAGATTTGCATTTGTGCACAATTTCCTCCTTTGAGTTCATTAATATTTTCCCTTGCAATTTTCACTTTTTAAAATCATTTTACTGGATTGCCAAACGTGAATTAGCATTAATTTTTTTCTTTCCATATCTAAGCATATGTGCTGCTCCACAGGGAAAAATGAGAGCGTTTATATGTTCTCATATATCAGCAAATCACTACAATTTACTTTGAGTAATGTTACATTGATACTTCACATGATCTGATTGCTATTCTATTCAACTAAGAAGATGATATACATATGAATTATAACCTAGGAAAAAAATATTTATTTTTTAGAGTGTTGCAAGAGGTGCTAAAACTATTCTTCTCAAAATTTTTTTGAATAGATCTTTGGTCTGCAACTCTTCCTTTCTAATCCTTCGACTTCAATTTTATTTACCATCAAATATTTTCATTTTTTTATCATTCATTATAAATGTCAAAATTATTTGTCTACTTTTAACTACTTTATTTTAAAAGATGCCATCGTACCTCCAAATCAACACTCCTCAAATTCTTCTTCCTATCATTTCCTCATAATTAATCTTAAAATTATCATATTATCTTCACTCAACTTACCATCAACAACTTTTCTATTGCCCAACATTTGAGTTTTTACAAAATAACTAATCTAATTGCAATTTATGAAATTTACTTTAAGTCTCCTTGATATCCTCTTTTTGCTTAATACTTTGAAGCATTCCTCTAGCCTTCACTCTTTACACCTTTATCTATATTTTCATTCTTTTGAATAATCGATCCACAATTTTTAATAATAGTCCATGCTCCATGATACTTATCTTTAATATCTTGATTATGCCTTTGACTCTTTTTTCTTATGCACACCAAATCAATTATCTAGGCACTCAATCATATACTTACTTAAGCTAAATAGAAATCATATGAATATACTTTCTAGGTTCTCTATTTTTTTTCATAATTTTCTTAACATATAAATTGTAATCGTAGTGTTTCATCTTTGCATGAAGCCTAATTGATTTTTCAAAAGTAAGATTATTTTTCTAGTTTTATTTTCCATTGCTCTCTATAATTTCATTGAATGACTAATAAGTTTGATTATTCTATAATAACCCTAATCTTGAATATCTTTTTTGTTCTTAAATATGGATCCAAGCATTTTTTATATTTTAAGTCTTTAAAAAATCATTTAAATATTTTAAAACTATTGCAATATCAACTAGAACTCTCCGAATTTCTATATTTATCTTATATGGACCCTGAACCTTCATGCATATTTTTTGAGAACAAACTCTAATTCATTTTTTTAATCAATATATAGCATACCTCATTATTTTATTAATTATACGTTATAAAATATTTTTTCCTTAAAGCTCTAATTTAAAAAAATATTAATGTATTATTTTAATCTTTATTTGATTTCTTCATCTTTAACATAGTTCTTATTGTCTTGGCTTTTAATGCATCTGTTTTATCAAAATTTCTAAATCCCACATCTGGAACCTATGTTGTTTTATATATATTTTTTTCTCATTCATTTGTATCAAATATATAATAAAAATCATTAAATGTTGAGACTTAAAACTTTCTTATAATAATCATTATAGGCCACAATAATTTTTATCTTTTGCCAATAAGCTTATTTCTTTTACTTTATAATCTTTTGCATCTTCTTACTTGGCTGCAAAGTTTTTTTTTTACTAAAATACGATTTGTTTCTTGCTCTCCCAAAACTTTTATGATAAGCTTCATAAAGGAATTAGCCATTTTGTCCAAACATTAATTTGACTGAACTCCATCATTCTAATTTTCCTCTCTTTATTAAGTTAGAAAGATTAACAATTTCCCACTTTTCAGATTTCATCATCTTAAACTAAGGAAACCTTCTTTAATTATTTGTTTATGCTATTAAGATATACATCTTTATAGGGGTGTAAACGAATCGTGCCGGACAAATTAGTTGCTCGAACTTGAGCTCAACCTCGAGTTGAGATCAAAGGCCGCTCGAGCTCGGCTCATAAAATACTAGCAAGGTTGTGAGTCAGCTCATGAGCTCCTCGCAAAAGAATTGATTAACCGTCGATGCGATCACAACTGAAGAAGAAGAAGCTAGCTTGCGAGCTCACGAGTTGAGCCTAGTATAGCTTGAACTCAAGCTCAGCTCACCAGCTCGTCATTGAGTCGAGCTCGAGCTGGCTCGGCTCATTTCCACCCCTACCTCTTTAATTGCTATTTATGTTGTGTGGCTAGCTCCTCAAATTATTTTAACTAACGATTATGAATGATAAATTTCCTCTTGACTAGGCTTTTGATGATGGCATGATTGGTAGCAGAACTGGTAAATTTTCCTTTTTGGTCTTTTACTTGCAAAAATTTCAAGCTATGTAGTCCCGTTTATTGATTTTTGAGATATATTTTCGGAATTAATGAAATTCTAAACTGTTTTTGCTAATTCTTAGCTTTATGTTGCTCTTGTCCAAATTAAATTATAATTGTATGTGTTTTGGCATGGAAGATGCAGAGAATCAATTTATCATTATGTTAGCTGAAACATTGATGATGTATTTGATCTTATTTGGTTACTGTTGATTCAGGAACTACAAGAGTATTCTTTGGATCAGATTTTGTGACAGTTACGAAGTCTGATGATGCTTCCTGGGATTATTTAAAACCTGAAATTTTTGCTGCAATAATGGACTTCTACACGTCAGGAAGCCCTCTTTTTCTTGATTCAAATACAGCAGCTTCGAAGGATACTGCTATTAATGAGGTATCATTTTCTCTGCTTACAATATTGTTTCACTTTATGAGCTAATGTCGATCAAAATGCAGTAGTTTTGTTGTTGTCGCTAATGAATAAAGTAATCCATACTTTTTTCAAGAATTCCTAACATTCATCCGGAATCAATGAGCTTTGGCTGAAAGGGCATTAACTCGTTCGTGCTTATTCTTATTTTTGTTTGGCCTTGGATAATTTTGATTTGTTCCTTTGTGACGATTATGTTTATGCGGTTTTGCATTGGCATTTTGGATTGGAGCCTTCAATGGTGAAGGAACTAGCCAAGGTACTTGTTTTTTTTTCATTTCTAGGTTTCTTTTGAAGGAAAAATTGACAAAGTGATTTTGTCTTTATTTGATTGAACTTGATATGGAAAATAGAGCAAGAATACAGAGAAATAGAGGATGTATGATAGAAGTTACAACTTTATGGATGATTAAAAGGGAAGCTTACAACACACAACACAAGACCTCTATTTTCATCCTAGCTACTAATTCTCGCCACCTCTCTTACTGAGAGGTAAAAAGGAACATATCTAGGTGGCGGCAATATAGGCTTCCTGATGCAGGACTACAATGTTTTAATTGGATGCGATTAGAACTTGCACGATTTGTTGAATAAAACAATTTAGAATTTTAGATTAAACTATCAGCAATCAAAACGACAAAAGAAAACGTAAGAGGGGTGGCTATGCTTATGCAAAATTACACGCCAAACACTTAGATTATCAAAACAACTTAGAATTTCAATAGCATGCAAATTTAGTAGCTTTTAACAAAATCCCTATGTTAACAATGTGATTAGAAGCATAGAAAGCTAAACTTAATTCCTACGATTACTAGGCTTGACAGAGATAAATGAACAAGACCTTCATGAATCAAGTCGAACCACAAGAGAGAGTTAAACTACGAAAATACAAGAGTAGGAAGATTGGAAGACATTTGTCACGAACTCACGGTTTGGACATAATCCACCATTGAACAACACCAAGTTGCTCCTCTATGGCTTCGGTGAGAGTATATAGAATGCGCTCCACGTATTCGTCGACAGTGTTTTCGATCTCCGGATTGACGTCGAAGAAAGTGGAGTGAAGAATGTGAACGAAACCTTGCTCGTCGTAGGAATGCCGAAATCAAGATCGGGATCGACCATTTGTCGATCTTGTTGCGTTGAAGTGTGGTAGGAGGTGTTCCTTTGCTATCCTTGCCACTTTCCCTTGAAAAAAAGGGGTTTCTCTTAAGAATCCAAGTAGGAGAAGGTAAGAGAAGGTGGCTGGCTAAGGGAGAAGGGCTTGGGGAAGTTAGGTTCAGATTTTGAGAGATTTAAATGGAGGGAATTTGTTTCAAACCACTCTCTAATTAATCCCTTAATTGATAATAATTAAAGAGAAGGATGAGGAGGGGCGGCAGCATTAGATGGGGGGAAGGGGATTTAATTTAATTCCAAATAGAAGAGAAGATCTTTGGAAAGAAATTAAATAGGTATGGGCATGGAGGATTTCGGCCAAAGAGGAGGGGAGGGAGTTTGAATTGTTTCCAAGAGAGGAGGTGGGCTTTTAGGAAACAATTCCTATTTCAAATCCATAAGGGGGCCGGCGGCTATAGAGGGAGGGAGGGGTTTAATGAGGCATTCTACTTAAATTATTAAATTAAGTTTGAAAAGAAACATCTCTTCCCATCTTAATTCAAAATTTAAATAGGATTTGATTTAATAAGTTTCATAAAATAGGATTTATAAATTAGATAACTATTTCAAATTCAAATTAATTTGAATTTGATCATTAATAAAGTTACCAAAATTAAGAAATCTAATTTAGGAAAGACTTGGTGGCAAGTGGAACTGAAGGAAAGAGCCAAGGGGTGAGCCGGTGGTTGAGGTTGGCTGTGGATGGGGGGGTGGGGGTTGGGTTTAGGTGGCGGGTGGTGGTGGCGAGTTAAGTGGCCGGAGGCTAAGGGGTTGGGGAAGGCCTTGGGCCGGCGGCTAGGAGATGAAAGGAGGAGGAGAAAGAGATAATGAAGAAGAACCATGAACCCGACCGTCTCCAAGGTTGGTGGGTGATCTGATTTCCCTCTCCTAGGGATTTCTCTCTCAAGCACTCTCAAGATCTCACAAAGAAATCAAGCAAGGGAAAAATTTTATCATTCATTCATTAAACATCAAAAGAGAAACATGAGGGCTATAAATAGCCTCATACAAATGACTCAAAAAGCAAAAAACAACATTGCCCTCGGGGCTTACACATGGCCTCTCTTTAATAAAGGGCAAAAGTGGAAAATAACAAAAGCAAATAAAAATATAAAATAATAAATGACAAATACATAATATGACTCAAAATAACATCGACTCGATCGTGGCCGTAGATCGACAGCCACATCTCTAATAGACTTTCGACGCTCTGATGTCCCCATCATTCTCCCGGGGTGGGAGGAAGCTCGACTCCGTCGAGTAAGCGTCTCGGGTGCTCTCATAGATCTCCAATGCGTTGGTCAATCTGCTGCAGCTCCTCGCGATCCAGCCATGTATCCTCTGACTCGGGTTTGCCTCTCCACCTGATTAAGTACCTCCGTCATCTACCTTTCTTTGTGGAGATGATGTCATCACTTAGAATCGTATCCACCTTTTCTGTTATGCGTGATTTGGGAATATTTGGGAGTGAAGGTAGATTTGGGTTCTCACACGGTGGGGTCACATAAGGCTAATGTATGAGTGGATTTTGTGGGTTGAAATCAGGATCTTTATATGCAACTAGATCTTCCATGTTAAAGGAGGGATTGATGTTGAACTATGTAGGCAAATCTACTACATAAGCATTATCATTAAATTTTTTTAATTATCTTGAATGGTCCAACACTCTTAGCATGCAACTTCTTTATTGTTCCTTGCGGGAACTATTCTGGACGAATCTACACCATCACAGAGTCACCAACGTCAAAAGTTTTAAATTTTCGTTTAAGATTAGCATATAATTTATAATCATTATTGCTATTTTTAATTTGTCGTTCAAATTCTTTATGAAGTTCATGCATATGTGATGCAAATGATGATGCAAACTCAGAAATCCTATACCTATAGCACATGGGTATAAGGTCTAGTGGCTGTCTAGGTTTGAACTCGTAAACAATTTCAGAAGGACTTAAGCCAGTGGTTCGGTTAACAGAATTATTATAGACAAACTCAGATATGTGGAGAATGGAATCCCAATCCTTAATATGCTCGCCGACAAGGGATCATAACAGATTGCCTAAGCTCCTATTGACTACCTCGGTTTGACCATCAGTTTGTGGATGAAAGGCTGTGGAGAATTGTAATTTAGTGCTCATTTTCATTCAAATGGTCTTCCAAAAATAGCTAGTGAATTTAACATCCCTGTTCGATACAATGGTTTTGGGTAACTATGTAAACGAGCGACCTCATTGAAATAAAGTTTGGCAATGTGGGAGGCGTTGGATGTTTTGGAGCAAGGTAGGAAATGAGTCATTTTGAAAAATCGATCTACTACAACACATATGACATCATTCCTATGAATAGTTTTTGGGCATGCCTAAGATAAAATTCATGCTAACGTCCTGCCAAGGGCAATTGGGGACAGGCAGAGGAGTGTACAAACCAATGTTTTGCTTGCGTTGTTTGGCCAGCTGGCAAGTATGACACTTGCTAACCATCCTACCAACATCTCTCTTTAGGATGGGCTAATAAAAATGATACTCAGCTTCTATCATATTGTCCTGACCGAAGTGCCCAGCGAGGCCTTTGGTGTGGAGTTCCCAAACAAGAAATTCCCTAAGGGAGGTGCTAGGGATGCAAAGATTTTGAGCTTTGAAAAGATAACCATCATCTAGAAGGAAATCGTCCGCAAGGCGCGTGCTGCCTGTGGACAAGAGAGAGTATGTCTCCTTGAAGTCGGGGCATTCCAAATAGTCCATTTTTATTTGGTCAAAATCAACGACTTCAGCTCTCATCTCAGTGGTAGTCATCATATGACGACTGAGAGCATTAGCAACTTTATTCTCAACCCCCGCCTTTTGTCTAAGGGTATAAGTGTACTCCTGAAGGAATTCAACCCATCGACCGTGACGTGCATTTAGCTTCTTCTGGGAGTTGATATAACGTAGAGCCTCGTGATCCGAGAAAATGACGAACTCTTGCGGGAGCAAGTAATGTCGCCAATAACGAAGAGATTGGATCAGTGTAATATTTTTTGTCATACGTGGAATATTGATGCCGAATATCATTTAGCTTTTCACTGAAGTAAGCTACCGGGTGACCTACCTGGGATAGGACTCCTCTAATTATGACTCCCGAAGCGTCGCAGGTCACTTCGAAGACTTTGGAGAAATCAGGAAGTCTCATCATTGGGGCTTCTACCATTCTTTTCTTAATCTCATCAAAATCTCTGGTGGTGGCCGGGGTCCAGTGAAAATTACCCTTCTTCAGATAATCGGTGATAGGAGATACAATGGTACTGAAATTACGGATAAATCTCATATAGAAGGTGGCTAGTCCGTGGAAGCTGCGGACTTCCCAGATGTTCTCGGGAATATGCCATTCAACAATGGCCCTTACCTTCTCGGGATCTGCAGAGACCCCTTGGGCTGACACGATGAAGCCCAAAATGATAACATGATGTACAAGGAAGGTACATTTCTTAGGATTAACATAAAGTTGTTCCTTCCTTAAGACCTCATAAACTTGCCTTAAGTGGTCCAAGTGCTGACTCGCCGACTGACTATAAATAAGAATGTCATCAAAGTAGATGACGACAAACTTTCCCATAAAAGGACGCAACACTTGAGTCATGATCCTCATGAAATTACTCGGGGCGTTACTCAACCCGAAATGCACGACTAACCACTCTTAGAGACCATCCTTGATCTTGAAGACAGTTTTCCACTCTTCTTTGGGTTGGATCCGGATCTGGTGGTATCAACTCTTGAGACCAATCTTGGAGAATAGAGTGGCACACGTCATCATATTGAGCATATCGTACAACC